TTGATAGATTATCAATTATTGTTTTTGTACAAGCTCTTTGATAGATTATCAATTATTGTTTTTGCACAAGCTCTTTCATTGATAGATTATTGATTATTGTTTTTGCACAAGCTCTTTCATTGATAGATTATCAATTATTGTTTTTGTACAAGCTCCTTGATAGATTATCAATTATTGTTTTTGCACAAGCTCTTCGATAGATAATCAATTATTGTTTTTGCACAAGCTCTTTGATAGATTATCAATTATTGTTTTTGTACAAGCTCTTTGATAGATTATCAATTATTGTTTTTGCACAAGCTCTTTGATAGATTATCAATTATTGTTTTTTGTACAAGCTCCTTGATAGATTATCAATTATTGTTTTTGCACAAGCTCTTTGATAGATAATCAATTATTGTTTTTGTACAAGCTCTTTCATTGATAGATAATCAATTATTGTTTTTGCACAAGCTCTTTGATAGATTATCAATTATTGTTTTTGCACAAGCTCTTTGATAGATTATCAATTATTGTTTTTGCACAAGCTCTTTGATAGACTATAGAAAATAGTCAAATACAATAGTTTGAGGACTTATTTTGACATGTTTTGACTTAGCATCCGCTAGTTGCCCCCCAGTCAACTCCAAAAAGTCACATGATGGTGCAAAGCTTCTATATGTTTTTTCTTACCTAATCCAAGGCCTTGTATGAAAAGAAGCAGTCCCTCTGCCATGGTGTTAGGCTGTAAAGAAAAACATTATACATCAAGACCTCTTTTACATGTACCTGAAGCAGGACAGCCTGGTCAAGCCAGCTGTTCTGTATCATCAAGGTCATTTTTTTTTATTCAGTGTGATAAACAAGATGAACCAGTATTCTGAAATTTTCTTGACTGGCATGGGTAATTATTAATTATTAGGTGCTAATTTGTTTGATTACTGGTTGCAGGGGCGGATCCAGGATTTTTTCATAGGGGGGGTTGTAGCATTGAGGTACTTGTTTGGCGGGAAAGTAGCACAGGGTTTCCAAACGGAAGTAGGTCTTATGATAATGATTATTTGCTGCAGGCGAGTATGGTTGTTTCAGGTCCCACACATGGCGTATAGAAAAAAGAGAGAGCGAAATGTGTTCGGCACCCCTGTTATAATAAAACTTGCGATGCTGTTGGTGTTGTCATGAAAAAAAAAATGATAGTAATAAATCAGGATGGCTCTCATAGGGGGGTTTGCAACCCCCAAAACCCACCCCTAGATCTGCCACTGGGTTGACAAAACAGCAAAGTAGCTGATGTCTTTGCAATAGTTGGTTTTAACGAGGTTGGAAAGTGTTTTTTGCCTTCACATACACTTACAATTATTATGAACTAAAAAAAATTAATATGGCTATAATATGGCAGAAAGTAAACCAGGAAAGCCAAAAACTATAAACCAAAGATCACAATGAACATGAAAAAATGATGTAAGATGTTACTATGACGACATCAGAACCCTTGGTATGCCATCAAAAATGTTCATTTAAAAAATCATAACTCAGGAACCAAATAGTAATTTTTTTAAAAACTGGAATATTTAAACTTTGTATCGTAATCTTCTTTTTGGCAAAAAAAAAAAAAGTCCGTAATAGGAATTTCATAAAAATCAATAAAATTCGTTTGGGATAGATCCCTTTTACAGAATTTTTAAAGTTTTTCCTTAAGTTTTCGAAAACATAAACTAAAGCCATGTGCAAAATTTGAAGAAATTTCACCACAGAGTTTTTGATTTTTTCAGTTTGAATATTAAAAATTTATAGAGCGTGCGCGTGCTCAAGAAAAACCGTTCCGAGCCTCCTTAAGTCTATCTGTAAGAGAACAAAATGTTCATAATGTTTCTTGTCTTTGGATATACTGTAGATGTTCTTACTAACCTTCTCCTCAAGGACACTGGCTCCACAATCTGGTTTTAGAATACTGTACTTTTTCCTATCACATTCACTCAGAATTCTAAAGAATTGTTCCTACAATAAAGTAGTTAATAAAACCAGGTTAGTTTTAACTAAAAAATAAAAAATAAAATAAGAAAAAACCAAATCAAATCAATAAAACAAAACAAAGCAGAGCAGAGCAGAGCAGAGCAGAGCAGAGCAGAGCAGAGCAGAGCAGAGCAGAGCAGAGCAGAGCAGAGCAGAGCA